GTCTGTCTGTCTGTCTGTCTGTCTGTCTCTTTCTCTCTCTCTCTATTGCTCTCTCTGTCTGTCTGTCTCTCTCTATCTCGGACTCCTTCTTCTCTCTCTAAATAATAATAAATTGCATTTATGTAGCGTATTTCCACAAAGAAGTGCTCAATGCTCTTGCTCATTGTCTCTGTATCGCTCTCCCCACTATTCAACAATTTAAAAAAAACAACCCCAAAAACCCACGTAAGTTTAGATATCTAGTGTGTGTCTACATGGGTGCAGAAAAGGAGAAGGTAGATCCCCACACCTTCCCACCACCACCCACAACCCACCTTCCCACCTTCCCACCTTCCCACCTTCCCCCCACCCTCCTTCCCACCACACCCAGTCTACCCCACCCCTCAAGATCCAACAACTGGAACAACTGCCCACTCAAACAGTGCCGTCTGCATTCCACCAGTCCTCAAGTATCAATAAGTTGACAACAACATATTTTGGGTACCCCCTCGGTTCCCATTGTTTGGGTGAAGGGCCCTCCACTAATGTATTGCGACTGTGTATTTCTGCCGGACTGACCCAAGTAAAACACTCCACTCTAAACGCCTTGGACCTTCAGGAATGCCGGAGGATAAATATTGTGGTATTGTTCCTAACGTGTGGGAGCTGGTGGCCGTGGTCACTTAGCTGAGCGTGTACCCAGGCAGGCCATCTCGTGTCTAAAGAATCCGAGTAAAAGGCTCCTTGATAATTAAAGTTTTTATATTATGGTTGATTCAGATAAATGATTTTTATCCAGTGTTTGCTGCTCGATTAATAGTTTGTTTTGTCTCTTACTGTAAATTGTTTGTTTATCTCTTACTCTTACTGTAAAAGCCAATTTTGGCAAGTGATTTATTTTTATGCTTTTTTCCAAAAATGAAAGCCAGTTTAGGAAGTTGTTGTTCAGTTCGTCTTTATTCATCTCTTAAGAATCAAGAGAACTTTTATATTTCTATCCCGTTGAAATTTTACGTAGTCAAAGAAAACTTTCTTGTTTCACGAGCCACAAAGGGTTTTGGGGAAATGGCACATAGCGCGTTTTTTCAGGGAGCCCTTAGGTATTTTCTCATAAAACGCCTTAGCAAAAAGACCATTTTTCTGTAATATACTTATGCCCAAACTTGTATAAATATATTATGCGACTGTACGGGGCTCTACGAAATTGGAAAGAACGGGTGCAGATTTGTTTTCACTCCGATATGCGATGTGGTTAAGTGGTAAAGCCCTTATGAGGAGTGCAAAGGGTACTTTACTTAGTGCTAAGACTCGGAATCTATTTATAGACGTGAAATCTGGGTTTTCCCCCCACTTGTATCTGATTTTACGGGGACAAGACTGGAGTGCCCCCCTACCCTGCGAAAAAAAGAAAGAAAACAGCAAGCGACCTGTTCCACGCCCATTACGACCCCCCGCCCCTCCCCCGTGACAATTATTAATGAATGTCACAAAATTAACTAATTACCTTTTTGAATTTCTTTTTGTTCTCCAATTTTTATTGATAATCATTTCCACGTTTGTAACGTGTTCTGTTTTGCGCCCTGTTAGAATCTGGAAACATATGAAATTACATCCCCGTAAATAAGCCCGTCATGCCGTTAGCCAATTATCAGAAAATAAATACATAAATAAATAAATGAATGAGTGAATGAATGAATGAATGAATGAATGAATGAATGAATGAATGAATGAATGAAAACTATTTCTTCTGATAGTTTTCTCTGAAACGCTACAAGAGACGAACACACGTATACATATTCATACACCTACACACACACACACACACACACACACACACACACACACACACACACACACA